CCATGATCTCATGATGGCTGTCGTTGGTGCTACACGGTTATTTTACTGGCGCTATCCTATTAGGTTTTTTTTGCGCTTTGGGTGATGATGAGCCAGTACGGGTCTGTTTCAGACAGAGTTTTGTTGGACTCTTTTCAGTTTCAAATTTAAAACTTGATGATGTGGTTCAGCTTTCACTGGGCTTGGACAGAAAGTTCTTTGGCTGTATTTGTGTCTGGATCAAAATTTCTGGCCCAATTAAAGTTGTAGTTCCGATATTGTAGTTTAACATTTCTCTGGATATTGTCTGTTCTGATGAAAACACATGGGGAAGCAAATCTGGTTGTTATGTTGGGTAACTGAGTGATTCAGCTGTCACAGGACGGTTATTAGTGTCATTGGCTCCAAGCATGCAGCACTGTCACCAGTACACAGGAGCAGCTTCTGCCTTTAACTGTTACAAGCTAAAGAACACAACTTTCATTGTGTGCATATGTGTGTGACTTTGTGTCATGTTTTCAAGTTGCCTCACATCACCTTTAAGAGCAATGGCGCTGATAAAGGCAGCACACACACACACACACACACACACACACACACACACAGAGCTATGTATAACCTCACGTTTAACCTCGTTCTTGGAGCGGTCAGTGAAAAGTCAGGCCTGGTCTCTGTTTCCATATCTCCATGAGAGCATTTCCCAGCAGTGCACTGGGAAAGAAATTTTAGCCATGTTAAAGAGAGGGAGAGCAAGAGTTAGAGAGTGATGTGAGGAAAAATGACAGCATACACACACACACACACACACACACAGAGGAACCTGGCTCTGCATTGCAACCCCAGAAACAGACCTACAGGCTTGAAGAAAAAAAAGAACAGCCCAAACTGCATCCTCAACAAAAACATCTCAGCCTGGCTTCCACACTTCTCTCCCTCTGCTTCAGTGCCACTCTCTGTGTGTTTGTGGGTGTGAGTCTCTGCCAAGATCTTTAAAGCATGAAGGCTGTTTCACTCCAACAGCAGGACACCAGTTTCGGACGCCTATCAGGAACGTGTGAAGATCTTCCAGCTCTGAGTGAAGCGGCGTTACCGCCCGCACTGCCGGAGTCAGAGACTTGAACAGATGCCTGCAGACTGGTGGTGTAAATCTCTGACCTTACAGGGATTCAATTCATGATTCTTTAAGAAGTGATTCGATACATCATCAATCTCCAATTCAGCTACAATTTGATTCCATTTCATTATCTTCATACTATTCAGATTTTTTTTAAAGAAAATACAATAATTGTATTTAATATAAATGTGACTGCAAAAACTATTTGCAAAGTAGTGGATCCTGTTTTCGAGAGAAAAGTCTCAGGAATTTTCTTTCGGGCAAAATACGTGTAGTGATGTGTAAAAGACCATCTTTCGTTTACTTTACCTTTATTTCAGCTTCCATTCTTTTTGAGAGACGTGCTTTCAATTTTTCAAAGAAATCTTTTTCCACACCTTTAAAGTCTTTGATATTTTCTGCCTCTTACTATCCAGTTAATTCCAAACACATTCACTGGCTGTGTTTACATGCAAAGATTTTTGCCAATTTGACTGAATCCATTGCGATTATAGATTATGACTGAGGTGTTTATATGCTCACCCTACTCAACAATCTGATGGAAATCTGTTTTACATGCACAGTACAAGTAATCCAATCCAAAATTATGTGCATGCATAGAGTACCACTTAATGTAGATGTTAGCATGACAGCGAGCATCACCTGAGGTCCAATCAGAGGTGTAGAGATTCAGGCGTTTACACGACTATTATTCGTCTACATAACGGATTATTTACAGGATTACCCACCTCATTCAATCAGATAGAAATTGTTTTGCGAATGGCCTCAATCGGACTAGTCTATTCCAATTAAGGTGCATACATGGACATATTTTATTCTGATTGAGCTATTAGTCAGATTATTAATGGATCATTAGGCTGTATGTAAATGTGGCTAGTAATGTTAAGATCTGGACTCTTTGCAAATGTTCATTTTTGTCTTTTTCTTTTCTCAGTGAGGGCTTCTTGACAGCTACGCATCCTTTCCAACTCATAGTGCTGAGTTGTCTTCTCACAGTGGAAGGATCGCAGAAACACCTGTGGATCTGTGGATCTTAATCTGAAGTTCTCCTCTCTCTCAAAGATCAAGCTTTAAGTGCTAGTTTTCTGATGGTGACAGTGTTAGTCATCTACCAGGTCTTGCACACTTGTTAACTCCTGTTTGTTTCCCTTTCTTTTTTCCCATTCTTTGGCAAATAAATTCTCTTATATCTAATCTCCTCAGAAACATCTCCCAAAAACTGAATAAATTGTACGTTATGGCCATTTTGACTGGAAATTAAATAAATAAAGGGTGGTCTCTGACTTTTGCACAATACTATACTTATTTATTGCAGTTACTACCATTGATTATAATTGATTTTAGCATTCCAAAATCATTGCCATTAAATCACCACCTTTAGATTGATGCAGAAAAAAAGCACCGATGCATTTTTACAACCTAGAGAGGAAGGGAGGGAGGCCAGGGAGCAGTGAAGGAGTCCAATTGGAAATGGAGCATGCAGCTTTGGAAGGAAAACCGACAGGAGCGGCACCTCCTGCTCCGCTCCAATGACTTTGAAGGAGAGGAGCTGGCAGACTGATCGCAATCTTCTTCTGAAAGCTCCTGAGCACAATCAACCCTCAAACGGAACAGAGCTTATCCACACATCCAGCAACACTGTAATTGCTCTTGACTTGCTGAAACAAATTTATTAGAAACCGCTACCTTGTAGCAACACCTTGGTGGCGTACAGTTACAGTCCAGATCATATGATACTTCATCAGAGGCCAGTTTTTGACCAGAGAGCTGCTCTTGGCTCAGTATTCTTGAGTGGTGAACCACCAACCTAGCAGGTATGTGTGTAAAAACTCCAGCAACATGTGCCTAATGGACTTACACCAGCTCCACATACACTACCACACCACTACCATGTCAGTGTCACTGCAGTATTGAGAATGATTCACCACCTAAATAATATCTGGTCAGTTGTGCTCCTCTGGTCAGAAACTGACCAATGATTGAGAGCGTGACTGACAAATTGTGCATGACAACAGATGGGCTACAGTACATCCAGTAGACCTATAAGGTAGGTGGACGTAGCAGAAGTAACAGGTAGGGGGTTCTAATAAAGTGGAGAATAGGTGTAGACAGATTGGATCATGACCGTATCACCAAAGACTGAGAATGGAATGTACTTGAATTATTCTTCACCCAGGCAATGTTTTCCAGAATAGGAGGTGCTAACCTCCAACCGCAGTGCTTAGGAGGAAGTGGATGACTTGGAGAGGTTTAGGGAAAAAGTCAAATGTTATTATAGCGAACCAAACTATTTCACACTTTTCCGAGAACAAAAAACGTAGCCAAGTGGATTCAGGCATGCGAAAAATCTGAATAGCTTTTAATCTGCTTATCCAATATTTCAGCAGGTCACAATATCACCAAGCTTTTTCTCATTCAGTCCAATTCAAGCCCTCACTTACCCGCTCTGTGGACACTCGGTCAGTAATAATGCGTTGGATTTTACCACCTCACAGTCGTGTGGACTGGACGGTTTACAGCCTGATCTTATGATCAGCTCTTCAAGTTTGTGTAAATCACACTCATTATCATGAAAAAAGCAGAACCTGCCCTCAACCCAGTGCTCCTGAGACATTAGATATGGCCAAGCTGCCCATTACTGAGCTCCTTTGGCCTGCTAAGTAGCTGAGTTATGCTGAGGATCTGAAATGCTGTGGTCCAGCATGACCGGCATCAAATCACCCAGCAGCTACTGAAAAAAAAAAGGCCAGCCAGACATGGATATCACTCAGAACATCACAGAGAATTCAGTTCATTCACAAACACAGAAAGCCACAGAAATGCAGAGACAGAGTTCATCATTATCTGACAACCAAACAATAAAAAAGAGGTTGTTATTGTAACATTATCACTTTAATGTCTCCATAAGCATTCACAAACATCTGTGTAGGGTTTATAAACAGAGTTTAATGAGTATTATGCATATTTAATAAAGGCCGTAATACTGCATCCTGCTTTGGCACAGTACACTCCATTACTCTGCTATATTAGCACTCCTCAACTCAGACACTAGTGAACAGTCATTACTGTTACACATCTAAATGCCTTTTATTTCATGATTTATAAACTTGTGGTTGTTTCCACACACACACACACACACACACACAAAGGGGGGGGTCTGACTTTCTAGCTCCAAGCAAAAGGCACCCCAATAAACAAATCTGCAGCAATCTGCAATTGTAAGAACTACAAAGTGCACCTATATCATAAACGTGTGCCTAAGTTGTCAGTTAGTGTACATAAACATACATTACATAGCCAAAAATATGTGGACACCTGATGAGTACATCTATATGACCTTTTTGGAATCTCCTAGAAAGGCTTTCCACAAGATTTTGGAGTCTATGAATTTGTTTCAGTCAAAAGAGCACTTGTGAGGTCAGGGACTGACGTTGGACAAAACCCCATTATCTCTCCTCCACCAAACTTCTGTTGGTATTATATATTGTGGTAGGCAGCATTTCCTGGCATCTGCTAAACCTAGACTTGCCCATCAGACTGCCTGACTGTGAAGCATGATTCATCACTTCATTTGCACCACTCCACTTTCACAGTAATGGCACTTACAATTGACAGGGGCAGATCTATCCGGGGGAAACTGACTTGTGGCAATGGTGGCCAGTGTTTGTCTATGGAGATTGTATGGCTATATGTTTGACTTTTATATACCTGTTTGTAATGGATGAGGCTGAAACACCTGAACTCAACAGTTATGAGGGGTGTCCACATGCTTTTGTGTATTCAGAAATTAGTTATCACTACCAATAATCAATTACAAAAAATATATTGTGATAAGATTTTATGCCATATCGCCCAACTTTAACTACAGAAGAGGAGGACACAGACACACTGTAAGAGCTTTTCTTACCTGTACTGTGCACCTGCGGATCTCTCTGTCCCTTCCGGGGCACCTGAAGCTCTGCAGTGGGGGCAGAGGGGGCGCCCAGCCTGGTCTGGCCTCTCTCTCCTGAAGCTCATTCCAGGCCCTGGGGTTGTGTCCATGGTGGCTGTAAGTGGGTAGGTCCTGTGGAGTGGGTGGACGATGGAGAGGGGAGGAGTATGGGGGCGGGGCTCGGCGGGTGATGGATCTCTCTTTCTCTTTTGTTCTCTCAGGGGTAGCTGAGTCTGTTAGCAGGTCCCTCTTTTCCTCTACCTCTTTCACCTCCTTCACTCTCTCTCCCTCAGTTTCCTCTGTGCTTCTCTTTTCTGCGTTTCTCTCTATTTCAGCCTCAGCTGGAGCGCTGTGACCGCTGACCTCCAGGGGCTCACGAGTAATGTTACTGTGGCGGTGAGTGTGTCGTGTGAGCCGGTTTTGTCGGTGAAGGGGGAGAGAGAACGGGACCCTGCCATAACCAAACTGCCCTGGACGGATAGAGGAACCAGACCTGAGAGAGAGTGAGAAAATTGAGAGAGAGAGAGAGAGAGAGCGAGAGAGAGCGAGAGAGAGAGCGAGAGAAGACAGAGAGATGCTTACAACCAAAGTTGGAAAGCAACAATAACTTTTTTGTGAAGATAAAAACACAGACCAAAAGGGCTTCACTAAATGTCAGTAGCAACACTGTATAACTAACTAGAACTAGATACTACTGCGTATCATTCAATTTCACTACATACAAAGTCAGTTTTACCAGCATCCGTGACCCAACATACATGCTTACTACAAAATCTAGACCGCTGACTGGCTGTCTAAATTCCATTCCACATGCATATTATTAACATCATTGCTTCTTACATCCAGCACCTTACACTCATTTCTGGTTTAAGCTACACTCACATACATTTCTGCAATTAAATAGAAGCTAGTGAAACAAGTACAGCTCTGGAGCTGGTATCGAAGTCAAGATATCAGTACTGGCATTGCAACTGAAATTTTTATTAACAATATCCAGCCCTGAGTTTTAGAATTAGTTTTACTCCTGGTGTTTCACCTGCAGTTTTATTGCAGCTCTAATGACTTCAGCCTGATTTTCACATTTATATGAACATTTAGATGAACTGAATCAGATCAGTTAAATCAGTAGTTTGTAAATCATTAAAAAGTAAAGGACTTTTGTAAATGAAGAAGGTAAAGCAAAGGCATTTTATTGGTTTCAGAAGTTGGGGCTACTTCATCTCCACTGTAATAGCATCCAACCAATAAACAGCTATGTCTTCTCAGAACTTGTTACACTTAGATAACTATGGAAATGGTTGTAGACCACTGATCTATTTAATAGCAGTGGAGACTTTTTAAACTGGATTGTAATCGACGTGTGTAATTCTAGTTTGATCGTTCAGATTACAACACCTAGCCAGAAAGAGTTAACTCACCTCTACTTAAGGATTTCTGCTGTAAAAATACTTTTAAAAAAAAATACCAACATGTTATCTATATTAACATATTCACAACAATCTCAACTCTCTCTGCAATGAGGTCCTTTTGACCTGGAGCACTGAGTAAAGAGATATTTGGGCCTGGAACCTTGAAAAAATGAGATTCAGTTTTGGAAATTCTTAATATTTCTTGTGAGAACACAGCTTTACTCATGTGGATGAATTGTTTTGGTGCTTTAAATGGGTGTACCAATGTCCTCGGTTCACAATGTAGTGGAATGTATGAATAAAACAGTAGATAAATTTTCTCCTTTTTGCTGTTTTCCAAAACTGCTGCAGCAACTTCAGCAGCTGTGAACTTGTTACACACCACTCGCGTTTGTGTCTGAGGCGACTGAACAAACAATGTGTTTTCAATGTGAGGGTAAGTCCTTAGTGATTTCCTGAGTGTCCATTGGTCAGTTTCATGCAAAATATAGACAGACACACAAATTCACCAATTATACACAGTGGGAGGCAGATGGCATGCGTCTCAACTTGTCTTCATTGGCTCATAACTCCGGTTGTGAGCCACGTACGATCTCATGAATTCGTTGGAATTTGATGGGCGACTCTACAGATTCAGGAAATGTTTACACCATATTTCTGTGCTTATCGCAAAGATATTAACAGGAACACTAAAACATTTAAATTGATGCACTGGCGCATTCGTTGACCCCAGAGGATTAATCTAGATGTCAGTAAACGTCCAGTTGATTGCAGGAAAATTTACTTAACTGTAAAATATTTCCTTCCATACTATTGGCTTGTAATCTATGTGAACATACAGATTACAGCGTATCTGTGATACAGAAGCGACGTGTTAACTAATTACACTCACCTTCTTACAGACGACGGATCCCTATTGGTGGAGACGGACCTCCTACTGCCACCCCCACCAGCTCTTCCTGCCCCATGATTGGGCGGCCGTCTGGAAACTCTTCCTGACTGACCGTACGGAAGAGAGGGTGAAGAAGAGGAAGATGAGGAGGCAGGAAAAGAAGGTGAACGGTAAATAGAAATTGGCTGCTGACCGGACGGCGTGAATTCTGGTCGGTAGAATGGAGGGGGGTGATTGGGCTGTTCTGGACCTGGCCCCTCAGCTGTGCTCCGGTAAAGGGGTAATCCAGGACTCTGATTGGCTGGAAGTGAAGGCGAATAAAACGGCGGCCTGTCAGCCCCAGTGCTACCGTACCGGGGGGGCTCATTGCCAGGATACAGTGAGGGGTAGTACGGTCTGACTGCAGAGATCACGGGGGAGTGGCTTGAGGCACCAGACGGCACATAGGCCGGCCCACTCCAAGCCTGCCGTGGAGGTTGGGGTGGAGGCATGCATCGTCTCCGCCTCTCTGACACGCCCGCTCCACAACTCTGAGAACACTCCGCCCACTCACTCCACGGACTCCAAACACCTTCAAGCCCCTCCTCCTCCACCTGTCGAGAGCGTCGCCCAGACACCTAGGACAGACAGCAAATGACCAAATTACTAACAATCACCTCCCACTAGAAACTCTGACTTTAGCTAATTTGTTTTTACATCAGTGATTACAAAATCCAGAATCAGAAACCAGGTTCCAGGCTGTAGCATTTCATTAGTGGTCAGTTTCTGACCACAGAGTTGCTCTCTGCTGGATTTTTGGATGTTGGTCCACTCTCTACCCAACAGTGACTCTGACATGTGTAAAGAATCCAACAACACTACTGTGTCTGATACACGCGTATCAGCACCACACACACAACCACACAAATACCACGTATCACTGCTGTGTGAAGAATGGCCCATCACTCAAAGAATATCTAGTCGACAGCAGTCGTGTGGTCAAAAACTGAGTTATGATGAATGGGGTAGTGAGTAGCAGACAAATTGCACATAACAACAGATGGGCTACAGTTTGTAACTGAACATCTATATAGTGAGTGGAAGTACAAGGGAGGTGCTTTAATAAAATGAATGGTGAGTGTACAGAAGCACAACACTCGATTCCAGACAGCTGGAATCACATTTTTATGGTTCAAATAAAAAAAAAGCCAAGTCAAGTTCAGAGGCACAATGATGAAAGCCAGACATGAAAAAATGTCTCACTTAAAAGTGGGCAAGTTTGAACGAATGCCCTGCCTTGTACACTTCAGTCACCTGACAGCTTGCTTATGTAATTAAGCAGCTAGTTTTGAACCAATTACTTGTAACGCATGCACAAATAGTGTCACAATTATGATGGGGTCAGACTAGTGACCTCTGTAGGCCCAGGGTCATTTTCTATTTTAGATGTACACTGCCTATTAAAAAGGCTTTTCAAAATGTTTTTATTTCAATTAAGCATGTTGTCTTTGCTGTTTTGCGGTAACTGAACATATTAAAGGCACAGCAGGTATATTTTGGGGAAATCAAAACCACATATAAATATTTATGTTTATCACAATATTCGTGACAGTGCTACGTTGTGAATATTGCCAAACCCCACTGATCCACTTGTTGTGCTTTCATCACTCATCAGCAATTAAATGAAAAAGAGAAGTGTCAAACTGTTATTCAGGCAATTAAGCAACTCTGACGCAGCTGTGTTGAAAAATAAACTATTAATAAAATGTTTTACTCTGAAAAATCCCCTGTCCCCAGACTTTTGACGAGCAGTGTACAAAAATAATGTTTTATTTCATAACACAAGAGAGGACCAGAAATTTCTGGGCTGTGTGCGGAGCTGGTCGGGGCAGGAAAGAAAGGAACCGCCAAACAAAAGTTTCCATTCAGGGAAAAATACTCCAAAACAGAGAGGTCAAAGGTCACCTCTGATCCGTCCAAATCTCAGCCAGGGCCACACAACATCAAGACCGTGTTTGTGTGGATGTGTGTCACATGGAGAGACAGAAAAGTACAGCAAGAGTAAGAGAGAGAGAGAAAGAGAGAGACAAAGAGAAAAAGAGACACAAAGACAGAGAGTCGACGACATAGAGAGAGAAAGACAGAGAGAGAGGAAAGAGAGAGAGATGGAGTGGAAGAGAGAAAGACATTAGGGTGGTATGTGAGAGTTTGGCATGTGTGTGCATGTGTGTGTGTAACAACATCAATCAGAAAAACACGGCTATTATTAATGTGAGGAAATGGCTGAGTCATAGTGGATGACATGGAAGAGGCTACACACACACATACACACTTCCCCTGACTACCGCACATAATTTCAGCTTCTCTCTACAAACAAACACGCATGCACACGCTCTCCCGGCTTCTTGGAAAGACACTAATGCTCTCACCAGCACACAGATACTCTCTCTTTTTCAAGGGTGTTAAGAGGGAGTTTGTCCCCTCTTTGCTGCAGTAACAGCCTGTATTCTTCTGAGAAGACTACACTGAATGTTGGAACATTACTGAGAGGTTCTGGTTACATTCAGCCACAAGAGCATTAGTGAGGTCAGATACTGATGTTGAACGATCAGTTCTGGATCATAAACTTCACTACAACTCATCCCAAAGGTACTGGTTGGAGCTCCATCACTCCAGAAAATGCAGTTTTAATTCTCTACTGCCCAGTGTCGGGGGGCTCTAGTCGGCGCTAGGTACAGGCCATGGTGACCTCATATGCTGATGCTGCTCCAGAGTGTCCCATTCTACTGATAATGCTTTTCTATGGAGATTAAACAAACTGTGTGTGTGCAAATGAATGTATCAGCAATTGGTGCACCTTAAAGTAGCTGAATTCACTGATTAGAAGGGAAGTGTGGATATTTTGGGATGTGCAGTGCATGTTTCCATGTGAAATTCATTATTTTTTTTTATAAAATTATAAAATGTAACATTTTAGTGATGTCCCACAATATTCACATAAACCCTGTAACCATCTACCCTCTGAAATATTTTGAACATTCCATAAGTCACGACAGGAAGTTACATCATATGAATCTTAAGATTATGAGAGGAAAAAAAATCCCTCGTTCTTTTTTCCGTATTTACACTGATACTGATTGAGAAGGTCAGTAAATTTTAACCTTGTTAGCAAAAGTACAGCTCTAACCCCTTAAACCCTTAAGACCAATGTGCAGGGTCCACACTTCAGTTCCTCCCTCACATAGTTATATGGATTACATATTAGTTTCATAGTAGCTATTAAATATTGTTAATAGCTAAAATATTACGTTCTCTGTTTCATGGTAACAATAAAGCAAACTCTATCAGTCCTCCGATGAAAAAACAGGGCTTGAGGCTGCTAATCAAGACACATAACCTCAAGTCAACTAATGTTACAAATTACAGATTCATTTCACTCTCTCCATTTTTGTCCAGAATCATGGAACAGCCTATCTATCCTGCCACAGCTAACAGCCCATCTTGACAGGTACAACCTCTTTTACGCCGACTAGCCTGGATACAAACCAGGACACGCAACAGACTTCATTAGGGACAGAAACTCTCCACAAAGCCAAGGAGAACTCAATGTTCTTTGTCCTCATACTCCCTCACCTGCTTCTTTTCAACAAGGTAAACACTGCTGAACTTGACCTACTGCTCTTGCTTGGCTCTCATTTTCAGGATGAATTCTACCCGGTAGCCTAGAAAGGTTTTCTTCCAGCTCCCCACAGCTTTATTATTGGATTCCCCTGAACCGATCCCTCTAACTAAAAGATATCTAGCAGCTTTTTTCTATACAGAATTTCTTTTTTTTCTCACTGTGAGACAACTTGGTACTTTAAAAGCAAAATATTTGTGATGATCCATAATGAATTTACTTTCAATATCTTTTATTAATAAATCAAACGGAAGTGATGTGCCAAGTCAGCTGGAAGGCTCTCATTCACTGCTCTTGTTTGGAGCACATGAGACACTGGCTGACACTCATCTGTGATAAAATGCGCTGTTACGGTGACGCAAGTTCCTGTGGCAATGGGTGTCCATGCATCACGTTACAGCAGCTTCTCATTCGACAGCTTCTTCTTTGAATCTTCTTGTTCCACCTTAAATGGTGCAGCAGTTACATTCTGGCACTTCAGGCACCATTTAAGGTGGAATGGGAAAATCCGAACAAGAAGATGTCAAATGAGAAGCCACTTCTGCCTCGTAAAAAGTAGAACATTGAGAGACAATTTACAAGAAACTGTTCTACTTTTGTGGAAGTTTCCAGCTGGTGATGCAAGAAAAGTGGCTACAGCTGAGCTAAAGCTTAAAGCAGAGCAAAGTAAGTTTGTGTTTTTGTTTGTATTATATTTTTAGCCTACACTCGTACATTAGCACATACTGAGGCACATGTACAGCCAAGATAGTAAAATGGACTCAAAATGTTGTGGCTCCCAAGGTGGTTCGATTTTTGTTGAAAGGACAAAATGACTCTTATTAACCTTTGGGTTGCGACCCCTGCACTAGCTTTTAATGTAGGGTGCATGCCACATATTGTCCGGACGCTGCACTTCCGCACTTCCAAGTTCAGCCTTTTGCGTTCCGTCAACATTCCGTTATCAATTAAAATTTAGAAAATTGATTTTTGACATTTGTGAATTGATTCAGCATCGTCCACGTCCGCATCACGATGTGTCTAAATATCGATTTTCCCCCCACCCCTAATGTATTTATAATATTCAGATCCTATAGGTTCATACTTTAGATCTTCAGAAGAAAACAACCTTTTTTGACTGCAGAGATTCTTCAACATCCTGTACAAGTCTTAGTCATTTCAAGACTCAATAGCCCAGTTATAATTCCTTTTTTAACTCATCCTTGCTCACTTCAACTCACCAATTGGATGTGTGTCACAAGTTGCTACTCGTGCAGAAGTGGGGGAGAAAACAGTGAGCAGCGGATTATTCAAACAGTACGCAGGTTAGCCTCAGTGAGCTAATCAGCTAGCCATGAAAACTTTGCAAAGCAAAATGTTTTTAAGAAGTTTGAGCTGAACGTACATGTGTGAGTAACTGCATTGTCTGAATATAAACTTGGAGTAGAAACGTTGTGTAACACCTTTCTTTTTGGCCTTGTTAGCCATAAAGCCTTTAACATGCTAACAAGCCAGCTAGCAGACGAAAGTGATGAAGTTAAGAAAAGTTAAGCATTTTAAACCAGTTTGCTGTGGCTTATAAACAGATTTGTCCACCATTATTTTGGATTTGAAATGCATCAGATCGCAATAATTTCTGGGCAAGTTCTGCTGCTGAAGTCAACACTGGTGTTTGCTCAGTCCCTCACCCCTCCGAGGGCTCATCTAACTCCCTTTACTTGAGCTAATAAAGTAATGGAGCAGCACTTAAGATGGCGCAGGGAATTCCCTTGAGGACTCCAAGTGGATGAAGGCTTGTTAAAACCAGTTAACGGGGGGAATAACTCCCTGCTTTCCGGCCTTCTCTCATATGCCATTTCTCCTAGAATGCTGATGAAATTCTGCTCCATAATCTGCCCAAGATCTCCCTATTGAGACCTTTTCACTGGCTTCCTGTAAATCAGAACCAGATACCAAGCTCTGGTCCTCACATCTCTTTTCTTGCTCTTCAGTGGTGGAATGAGCTTCCCTCTTAGGTCTGCACTGCCCTGTCTCTCTGTTCTTTCCACCACGGACTGAAGATGCACCTCTTCAGACAGTGCCATGGTAACATTCCACACCTATCTACACTTCAGTCCTGTAGGCCTAACTTTTTGTTTATTTGAGCTTTTTAAGACAAAAAGAAAAGTGGCACATCACATTGTGTGTAATAAATACTCGACTTTTATATATGTATTTAATTGACAAAATCATACTATGACAGCACTCTAGTTTTTTAGGTCACAAATCATTGCAGTACCTTCTGTAAAGGTGTTACACTGTCTTAAAGAAAGAAACCTCTTTTGTTTCATCCAATCAACCCTCTTAACCTGTTCAATTTGTTACTGTTAGCCGATATTCAACCCTGTTACTTCACTTTGTGTTGTAAAACTATCAATAAAGAAGTATTTGGTCTTCTTTAAAAGAAAAAAAAGGTTCATCATTACAGTAAATTTCAGCTTAAATGCATGTGCATTTCATCTTTTTTTTTTTTACAATTACAACTATTTTGATATATAATGATTAATCTCTTAGGAAGCGACATTTTATTTAGGAGAAAATGTAACATGCAATTTCTAATCATATTCAAACAGTTGCATAAATTTTGGTAACAAGGCACTGTCAGGAAAGGAAGCATGATAAATTGTAATTTATTATCTGAGACAGATGACCGTACTTTTGGATGGTTAAATGCCTGTTTTTTTATATTCAAAGGAATAAAAGTGAATTCCCAGTCGTGAGATTACTCACACACACAACATGAACCTGGCACTGAAAGACTTAGATACAGTTCTCCACGTGCACAGTGTTGATGTGTGTGTTCTTTACACTCTCACACACTCACACTGTAGCAGACCGCTCCAAACATCATAATAGCGGAAAGATTTACTCATATTTGCTGTTTTAAGGGGCAGTTGCTGTGCTAGACAGAGAGAGAGAGGGGAGAGAGACAGAGAAATAGAGAGAAAAGGCTACCTACATAGGGACTTTATAACACATGCATAAGCATATAAATATTAAGTATTGCTTTATAAATGTATTATAAACAGTTTTTGTCAGTAATAACGTGATGACAAGATGACTTATGAAGTGAATGACACTGTGTTGACATAAGCACCCTTAAACTAAAGTGATGGACCTTTGTTCCAGTTTTTTTGTTAAGTACAAAAGCACAATATCTGTTTAGGAGAACTACCTCTGTTTAGTCCACACAGGTCTCCATAATAGAAACTGTTCATCAAAATAGTCTAACATAATTACTGTAATAGCAGTACTTGTACTTTTAGTACTTAAGTACATTTAAATGCAAGTCATTTTCTAATTTTGTACTTAAGTAAAGAAATTTTCCTGGAGTATAATTTTCCAAGGTTTTTACTCAGGTAGGATTCATATAATAGGTATGAAAATTATTATTTAGGTTCGAAGGCATCATAACCTTCCAAAGAACCAAAAAATGTGGTGCTCTTAACTCAGCCTCTGCTTCTTAAGTTCCATTATTTGTGAATGATCCTTCATAACAGTGTTACAAATGGAACAAATGCCCATCGCTTTTAAAGACCCTTATGTCAGTACAATGCTACTGCCATTTCTGGCATAAACTGTTCATAAATCTTCAAGTTTTGCTTTATAAATACATTATCAAATGCTTATGCATGAGTTATGAAGTCTCTATGTAGGCAGCCTTCAATTCAAATATAACTCGCTCTTAACATCTTTAGCTTAAGCCCCTGTAGCACTGAGTAAATGCCTTCATAGTGACTAATGTAGCTTATATTTTAGTCACGACTCTTTTGTATTGTTTCTGTTTTGACTCTCTGGACGCAGCCCAGGAAAGGAATGTGTTCACTTCGATCATAGAGGACTCAAGAGATGAGCTTAACTGTCCAACTTTAAAAATGGGTGGACCTGCTCTTAAAAACCAAGATGTCAAAGTCTTCACTGCAACAGTATTTCCCAGTAGTAAATAATTGCACCATCATACACAAATGAATTCATAAAAACACTTTTCATAACAGATACGTACTTTTGTGTTACAGATTTATATTTGTTTTTATAACAGTTATGTCCGATTTAACAATTACTTATCTTCTTACTGATTATTTATCTTATTTTGTCTTGTTAACTACCTGTTGACCTAGAAAATGTCAACACGCCTTTACACTGTACAAATCTGTCATCTTTGGGTAAAAAATATTTATGCATTAAGATGCTGTATCAACCGCTTGTCACATTCTCTGTGGCCCAATCAGTTAATAACTTATTTTTAATGACAATTATAATTATTGCTACATCGAGCTGAGATAACGTATTTCACTTTCTAAACTGCATATTGCTCAAAACTGCATTGATACATTTACATAATGTTACATTAACCAACCCCTTAGTTTTATATATTATACATAAGTACATACTAGTTGTAATAATGCACAATAAACACTCTGATAAGGCTTTGTTATGCAAAATCTTAAGCATGACTCCACCAAATCGCCAAAATTTACATCATATTAGTGTATGACTGGCAACATTTTATAGGTTCTAGGTAGCATCAAGTGATTTCTGGAATTAATTGCATTAGAGCAAATAAGAGTTCAATAAGTTACTAGGACTTGAAGATGTGTTCCAGTTTTACTCATCACTAATTTGAGGCTTAATAAGCACAAAACATGTTTTCAGTAAGTCAATTTGCATCCCATGTTCTAAAATAATGATAATTCCATGGCCTTTTGGTTGCCAAAAACAGAAACCTAATTACAAAAAAGTTGGGACAGTATGTGAAATGCAAATAAAACAGAAAGCAGTGGTTTATGAATACACTTTGACCTGTACTTGAACAAAAACAATACAAACACAAGATATGTAATGTTTTATCTCCATTGTTTTTTGTGATCATACGCTCATTCTAAAATTGATGCCTGCAACAAGTTCCCAAAAACTTGGGACAGGAGCAATTTAAGACTAGGAACACTGTGAAATGTTCAAGAAACTTAGGTGAAAATAGGTGAAATTATCTTGCTTGGGTATAAAAAGAAGTTCTAGGAAAGGCTAGGTCCTTTATAAGCAATGATGGGTCAAGGCTCGGTACTTCGCAAAAATACATCAGCAAAAATCTAACAGTTTAAAAATAACATTCTTCACCAAGTGATTGCAAGGACTGTAGGTATTTCACCCTCTAAATAACATCAAAAGATTCAGGGAATCCAGAAAAATGTCTGTGCATAAAAGATAAGGCTGAAAACTGCAACTGAATGCCCTTCAACCCCTCAGACTGCACTGCATTAAAAACTGCTAAGTGTCTGTGATGGAGATCATCACATGGGCTCGGGATTACTTTGACAGCTATCAATAAACACAGTTTTTCGCTGCATTCACAAATGCATGGCAGACGTCATATGTCAACAACGTCCAGACACTCTTCCAACTTCTCTGGACTCAAGCTCATCTGAAACGGGCTGATGCTCAGTAGAAACTTAGTGGTTTGACGAATCAACATTTCAGACTGTTTATGGAAATAATGGACATTGTGTTCTCCAGGACAAAGAGAAAAAGGACCATTCAGATTGTTACCAGCATAAAGTTCAAAAGCCAGGGTCTTTCAGGATATGGGGAGGGGTATTAATGGGTAATTTGTATGTCTGTGATAGCACCATTAATGCTGAAAGACCACACCAAGAAACATTCTGCATGTTACAACAGCTTGGCTGCGTAATCAGAGAGTGCGGGTGCTAGACTGGCCTGCCTGCAGTCCAGTACTGTGTCTCACTGAAAAAGCGCACAAAATACAACAATAAAGGTCCCTGATTGGTTGCACAGCTGAAGGCCTGTGTAACAGAAGAATGACAAAAAATTCCGCTTTCAAAACCGGATCAGTTTGTGTCTTCAGTCCCCAAATCATTATTCAGTGTTGTTAAAATCAAAGGTGATGTAACACAGTGGTAAACATACATCTGTCTCATCTTTTCTGGCACGTGTTGCAGGCATCAAACTAGGAATGAGCATATAGTTAAAAGAAACAATAAAGTTCATAAGGAAAAAAAATGTATGTTTTAATACCCTTTCTATTGGCATTTGACACACTGTCCCAATTTTTTGGAATTGGGTTTGTACACAAGCTGGGAATATTTTAACTTAGTTTTATGCCATTTTAAAAACTAAATGTATTAACAACTAAATTGAACTCTGAATAGGAACTGAATTTGTGATGTAAACTGACTTATAAAAAAATGTATTTAGTCTCTAATTAGTGATGATTAAAACTCTACCATAGAGCATGGAAAACACAGTCTCATGCCATTTATTGAACATTATTACAAAAAATAACGCAATTATTTAAGATGATCACATAACAGACTTTATTAATTATGTGTCATAATGAATAAAGCTTAACGCATAGTGAATAAACCATTTAGAATAGTGTGATTTAGGCTACTGAACAAAGAACACCTTAATAAACCTTTGATATGTGTTCCTTAATGTGTTAACATAATTTTGCTCAATATCTGCATAACTGATACTGATATAATGTATATTTTGTACATTTTTGTGAGAATATCTCATATTTGTACATTTTTGAGTGCAATACCTGATTAACAAACAGTAAGATGACTTAATTTATCTGTATTCAAATAACCATGCCCACTCTTATAGAAACACTACAAATCTGTATCACAATCGTCCTTTTGGAATCACCTCAATATCATCATCGTCATCATCACTTACTGGTTTTTCAGCCTCGTCTGCCCCAGACACACGCACAGCGGCCAGCACTGCGCTCCACAGCACAAACAATCTGCAAAGATTATGAAAAATGAGATACATATGATCAAATTTAAACTAAAACATAGAGACAGAATGTTGACCTTCTTTCCTCTTTAAATACATTCTGTGCCCTGAAGTGTGGCTCCTATCCTAACCTAACTGCTCAGCTGGGTGTTTGGATACAGGGACAGAAGACTGACTGTCCGGTTTAATCAGCGTCTTCACAGAGTCCGTTCAGTCACAGTAACTGCTTTAAAAGAGTAGTTAGGCAAAAAAATCTGGTTTTCAGTTTTCCCCTGACCTCAAAGGTAGCCGATCAGTCAAGACCCGTTTGTTGTCTAAAGTTTCCTTCTTCAGTATTAAACTGGAGCTGTGAGGCTAATGTAGCTAACAAGTAACTGAAGATTATACCCACCAATTAGCATCATGCAAACCACCTGCCTAAATCATCACTTACCCCAGTTCTCAAACAGTGTGTCAAACAGCTAAAAGCAGTATGTTAAACAGCATCAGAAACCACATAAGAAAGTCTATTTGAGGTAATAACTTGACAAGGTTTGATGATTTAGGCTTGTAGTTTGTATGGTGCTAATGCTAATGCTATAAGCTTTCATTACTTGTTACCTCTTTAGCTAAAGAACTGAAGAAGCAAACTTCAGACAGTTTAACTGCATTCAGGGTAAGAGGAAAATTGTATAAATTTGATTTTATTCCAGTAACTTTAATCCTTTTGTGCAGCTGTTCTGGGAAACTATTTCCTCAAGCACCCAAAAGGTCAAAAAGAGTCTCCAGAAATCTTCATTTATCTCCATAATGTAGCCGTCTCAGTGTGCACCATTAACAAATGTCCACTCAAATATAAATAGCCACAGAGTTTATCTGCTTGGACTACAGCTTTATCGCTTGAGCTGCACAGGGGCAATGGTCAGCAGCCCTGTTCCTGGAGATCTACTGTCCTGTGGATTTCAACTCCAACACAAACACAACACATTTTATTCAGGACTTTGGGTCAAATCTGGAGGCTGGAGTTAAACAGTTACGACTGCTCTAGTCCAGCCTGTTCCAGCTCCAGTGCTGTAGTCCAGCTGATCTGCATAGGTTTGTGTGTTCCTGCATCTGAGTCCCATCATTACTGAGAGCGTAAAACACTGTATCAAAATTTAAAACTCTATATATCCCTCAGTCTTAGCTGAGGGTCTCTCATTTTGCTGTCTTTGTGGAAACAAAGAGAAAATTGAAACAGTACCTTTGTTACTGTGAACAGTAAGGCTGCTTAGTGTCATAAACAGTCTCAGCACAGTTTTTACATATATTGTGACATGGTGACCTCAGTTTTCAGGGGATGAGAATGACAATATGCTTTTAGGATTTATATGGGGTCTTTAAGGTTTTTTGTACCGATTATAGTTTAGTTCACTTTCTCCCCAATTTAGTCATGACTAATTGTCACCCAGTAGATAGGTCTTCCACATAGTGCTATCAAGCATGCTTCCTCCGAGACAAATGAAGTTATCATCATAGGACAGCTCAGAGCACAACAATGGCCAATTCTGTTATGTTAGCTAACAGATGCATAGGTTGGCTAGCATCACTGGCGAGGCCAGTTATACCTGAGAACAGCACCGCAGATAGCTGTGGCATCTTCAGGGATCAAACTTGTGGGCCAACACTTGAAGCATTTTGGTTTCATAACCATTTTGCACATAGACATGCTTTTTTGCAGTCTTTTATTTTAAAAATCTGAATCAATCTGTGTAGTATATAATGTCTAGGATATAGCATATAGTTAAAACATTAATTACTATTAATAATCAAGTCCTTCTGGAGCTGCATTGGGTGTGTTAGAGCCACAAAACACCAGCCTGTGTGGACTACTGGACTGGAGTTGCTGGGAAACTAAATAAACACCAATGTACACAGCAACGTACACAGCAACATACACAACACTCAAGGCATCCTGCCCACAAATACAGATACCAACACAAACACCAACACACAAACCAGCATACACACTGAATTTTGGTTGGATTGAGTGGGGGAAAAAGTGCTTTGGCAGGTGGACAAAATTTGTACGGGTTTTAAAAAAGTGTATAAACTTAATAAACCGAAATACTTAAAAGTGCAGATGAAATTTGATAATGAGGCCTATCTTCTCCCCATATTCCTACTTTGACTGACAGACTTTATTCACCCCTGTTCAGAGGAGGCCTTTGCCACACCCACCAGCATCAATAAACACAAGACAAGACATGGCATGGATTATACAGTTCACTCATTACTGACTGTACGTAGTTGTGCAAATGTTGGAAACTGAAATGGCCCTAATCTGTTTGGTGTAGCATATAAATGCGAACAAGTTTTAAAAATGTGTATAAAAATGCGTATAATTAGAACCAGATATCTGAAGTGTTCAACGGCTCTAAATGCTCCCTCCCAGAAATTCACTACATGAAATGGTTATGAATGCACTGCCTGATTTCTGAGACATTGTTTTATATTTTGCAGGGCGTTTTTGCAGGGTGTTGTAAAGCAAAGTAATCCCCAAATTCCTCTCATCACTACTGTAAAGAAATCTGAGTGAGTAAATGTGTCTATAAAGAACCATTTCATCTCAAACCACTCTGAAGGACTCTGTTTACATCTCAATGATTAAACTGTACAGAAATGTTGTGAAGGACTTTCCCTTAAATACTTCTCTGCAAATTTTTAAAGGCAAGACATCAGCAATTGGTTTAGTATAGTTAATACATATGCATTCTGGCAGAATTATTATCATTATTATTATTTTGCCTGGACACCAGAAACAATCTGGCAACTGTATGCAACGCAAAAAAACACAAGCATTAACATAAACATCTTTACATACAAACATCAACACACATCAACAGTGACATTAACAGAAGACATACACACCAACATACACACACCAGCACATTCATGGGTTCTACATGAACATTCGAAAAACCCTTTCCATGATTATAGAGTTTTTGCATCATCAGAGTGTTCTTCAGATTAATGGAGAATGTGCTGTAGATGGTTCTATATAGAACCTTTTTGGAAAGGGTTCTTTTATTGTTATGATGTCAAGGTTGTTACAGTAGATTACCTCTTTTTGGTGTTATATAGAACCCTTTTCAAAAAGGTTCTATATAAAACCATCTATAGCACATTCTTCATCAATCTGAAGAACACTTTCACTATGCAAAGAACGCTTTAATCATGCAAAGGGTTCTTTGAGTGTTCATTATTCTATACGACTATATTCTGTACTAAAGAACCCTTGAGGAACTGTTATTTCTAAGTGTGTAAGGTACACATAATAAACACATCAGTATATGACACGCCAACACAGACCCCAAAATGAACACCAAACACTAACAGAGAGCATTAATGCCAACACAAACAGTAACACTGACACGGATATGCACACCTGTACAGCCTATACCACTGTCTGCACTGCTGTGATCCACCTGCACTGCACAGTCTCCTGTTTTCCTGCTGTAGCACACCTGGACCAGCTCTAAAACACCTGATCTTTACTAATGATGAGACTAACGATGAGACTCAGGTGCAGGAAAACCCAAAACTGTACAGAGGTGGACTACAACACTGGAGCTGGTAAACACTGGTCTAAACTCCTCTCTGTGGATGTGTCCTCTGTAAGTCAAGCACAATGTACATTGCTTTTAGCCACACTGCCTTTCTCCAGCTTCCCTGACCACTCTGCACAACTTCTAAGCCTATTTGTCCATCAAACCATGGGCTAATCCTTCAAGACATTGAGGTTTCTTGTGTTATTCGAAGTCGTGCTCGACTCCCTGTGAGTCCACTGCATCTGTGGCTTCGCTTTTACCCCAAAAACGGCGCAGTACATTTTGTGTGCAGCCGCAATGCAGCGTTGCACAAAAACCATAATTGCTGCGCGCCGCCGCGGAAACCCCAACGAAAACAGCCCCGGACAGGGGCACAAAAATGCTCCAGGGGTGGTGCAAGGGGGGGCAAAGGGGCACTAACACCCCCTCACCAGCCCACCAGCCCACCCCTCCATCATCTGCCCACGTTTTTTTCAAGCATTCCCATGCGGTCGCTTTTGGAAGCTGCAAAAACGGTGCAAATTGCGCACTTGCAAGATGACAAAAGCAAGATTTTACGCACAAATATGACTTTTTTTGCTCTCAAATGAAACACGATATTTAAAGCATTAGGATAAGCAGCACGTGGTGCAGTGTGACTGAAATAAAAACACAACAGCAACAACAAGAACATGGGCATAAACCTGGAGTGAGGGGCAGTGGAGCTGGACAGCAGCGTAAAGGGTTAAACGCATGGAGCTTACCTGCACACAGATCCAGACCACATTCTCGCTCCCTTTCTCCTTCTCTCTTTCTCTCTCTCCTTCTCCTCCTGCTCTCCTCCGCAAAGCTGGTCGCGCTGTATTGAGCCCCGATCGAACTTCGTGCTGCTACTTGCTCCGGATTCAGGCACGAAATGAAACTGTTTCCAACTTTTTCCCCCGTCCAGCTCTCTCTCTCTCTCTCTCTCTCTCTCTCTCTCTCTCCCTCTCTCTCTCTCTCTCTCTCTCTCTCTCTCTCTCTGTCGCCTTTCTCTGTCACTCTGCCTCTCCCTCTGGTTGACTCACTCACACACACATACGCGCACACACATACACATACACACATATGCACACACACGCCCCCTGCCCCCCTCTCCTCCTCCTCAGGGGCAGGGGAGGGGTGGGCCAGTTTTTTTTTCTTTCTGTCGTTCAACCAACTTTTCCTTTTTGTCCTTGTGGAAAAGTGGTGTGACGTTGGACAGCTGGGGGGCCTGAAGGGGTTGGAGAGTGTGTGGATTACACAACAGCACACGCGCGCACATGTATGGAAACAGTGCTGTTCTACACTGAACCGACTCTAACCTGAACCCACCAACCAAAACATCAGATTTACCCTCTTTTACTGTTTCTAATAAACAACTGCAGCTTTTTGGGGAAAAAGTTTCCTCATGAAACTCTGTGGACATTTGGTTCTCAGAAAGACACACACACACACACACACACACACACACACACCAATAAAATCCTGTACAGTTATTTTACCTCTCTGTATCACAGTACTGTCAGAGTTCAGCTTTGTTTTTATTCCGCTTGACCCCTTGACCAAACACGCACACACACACAGTCCTCTCTTTGTTACACTGAACTGACAGATATAAAAACACTGGGCAGTGTGAACAGAAACAGGTTTAATCTGAAAAGTGAGACAGAATCAAATAGCACTGAAACTAGAAGGGTGATGTTTGTGTACAAACAAACCTGAAGTTGGCTTCATAAAGCCACTTAATAAGGCTTGAAATGCTTATACACTCAGTACCTTTACTCAGGGAACATAATTGTACCATAATCCATGGAAATTATATTTAGAATTATATAAATTGCATTGCCTCCACACATCCCGTCTCGTCTCCAGGCTTTTTATTTTATTGTTCTGTTCAAAACATTAGGTTCTGAAAGTCCACATACATACTTTTCCACTAAAAACAAAAGGACAAAACCACTGTTGAACCTTTTGAGGGTACATTTACATTGTTTGTAACTTGATGAATGAAAAACGTACCTGCACAGAACCTTTATTCTGCGTATAGCTGTTGATATAGTACTGCTTGGTTGGATATACAGGTTGTTGTGTTTTCTACGTTTATGGGTCATTTAATGTTGAAGGGATTATTCTTGTTGTTTGGTTGTTTAAATGCTAAAAATAATAAATGCTGTTTATGTGTTGTTGAAGTTTAGGGCTGTAGATTATTGTTAAACTGATGGATGCAGATGGATGTAGAGGGTGTAAAAGGTTAAATTAGTCTTGTGTACTGTGTGTGTGTTTGTGTGCATGTGTGTGTGTGTGTGTGTGAGAGAGAGAGAGGGAGAGAGAGATAGAAAGAGAGAGAGAGAGACAGAGAGACAGAGAGAGAGAGTCAGAAACAGAGAAAGAGATGTGTGTGAGGGTGTGAGATGTGAGTGCTGAATTTTAACATTGAAACTTTAAATTCAACACTGAAAATGCTACACATGAATATAAATAAATTAAAAAAACACTGTTTACATGCTGATGAAGAGTAGATTAATAGTCCATTAAATATTAGCAATGTAGATGTAGTAATAGTAATGTAATTACAATGTAATAGGCTGATGGCTGTGTATGAAGGGTTAAAGCAGCTTTAACTGCTTCTTATGGTTAGAGAGTCAAGACAACACCTTGTGTCTCCATTATTGTTGTTGGTTTTTAAAAAAACAAAATTGCCCTTTACCTTGTGTTAAACCTTCATGATGATCAGACCAATAGAAATGGTGCACAACTATTTGGAATAAAATTTGTTCCACTGACTTCAGTTTAAAAGCAAGAATGTTTTTTCCTTCTTCTGTAAAGTTACCATTTTGAAGATAGTTTAGTCCCAACAGCGACGAAATAGCAATTTCAACATGCCTATCGCTAATATTATTTTTCTTTAAATTGACTTTAGTCTTTTCAGTGAATACCATTCATTCTCTCTCTCTCTCTCTCTCTCTCTCATTCTTTTTTCATAATTTCTTCCCTTCTACCTTTTACACTTTCTTTCTTCTCTCTATTTTTTATCTTCTTTTTGTTTTCTTTTTATATTCCTTATTTTCTTTTCTTCTTTTCTTTCTTTCATGAATGAGGACATTTGCTGGTAGACTAAGAAATAGCTGCCATTTATCAGATCTGTAGGGTGTAGGAGTGATTTTGGTGATAATGCAGAATGAGAATATGATTGTTCCACTGCATTCAGTCACGCTGGTGCAGATGTGATTGTACAGGCTGGTGAACATAAGCTCTAAAATTGCCCTGAGAGTCAGAGACCAAACACTGTGGCGAGAAAGTGATAGCACGGACTGTCAGGGGACCGATAACATCCAACACTTTTCCCTAAACCAGAGGCTGCACACAGGGCCCAGCTGGACATGGCTTTGTCTAGTTGCACCACAGAGGGGTTTAGTTCCAGCACACAAGCTCTAATATTCAGATAAAAGTTTTTTTTTTAGATAAAAGTGTAGATCATCTGTTGATGCACAATTTGTGCTAGCGGTCCTATAGCCCTTTCTGTTCTGCAGTTTCTGACCATAGAGCTGGTGTTGGGTGGCATTTGGGTGGTGGACCACTCCCAACTTAGCAGCGATGGGCTGATACTGACATGTGTAAAAACTCCAAAAGCACCACACCACCATACCTTTAACAAGTCAGTCTCACTGCTATGTTGAGAGCCGTCCTCCACAGTGGTTCTGTGATAAGAAACTGACCAATAATGAATAGAGAATGGCTAACACAAACTGTGCATCAGCAGATGTTCTGCACTTGTACACAGATATAATGGACCTATAAGGTAGGTGGAGCTCATAAAGTAGTCTCTGGGTCACCAAGATAGCAGTCATTGGAGAGCTTGAACTCAGCACACTTTACAGGACACTCAGGGCCATTCATGTCAAGTCAAGAGGCTTTTATTGTCATTCCATCTATGTACAAGTACACAGTGGAGTGAAATTATGTTCCTCCAGGAACAAGGTGCAACAAGGAACAAAAGTACAAAAGTTCAAAATTACAAAGTGCGAACGTGCAGACAGTGTGCAAACAAAAATTAAGCTAGAAACAATACAATAAATGTGATAAATTAAACAGACATTACACACAGTAAACAGACAGGACAGTGTGAAAACAGCACAGATTTCTGGAAGGTGCAGACATATTTAACATGATGTGATCTGTAAGTTACGTCAGATAACATACATAAACACAGCAGTTACTGATGTAGTAAAACAGTGTAAACACAGTATTAGCAGCAATGTTCCAGATAGATAGTGCAAGTAGAGCATCAAAAGAGGTGTGTGTGTGTGTGTGTGTGTGGGGGGGGAATTTAGTTCAGTCCTTGTGAGTTTAAAAACCTGATTGCTTGAGGGACAAAGCTGTTGCAGAGTCTGGCAGTAGATGTCTGTGATGGAGGGGAGAGAGACCCCAATGATCTTCTCAATTGTCCTCACTATGCGCTGTAGTGTCTTGCAGTCGGAGGCGGTGCAGTTCCCAAACCAGGCGATGATGCAGCTGCTCAGGATGCTCTCCACATCCCCCCTGTAGAACATGGTGAGGATGGGAGGGGGGAGATGAGCTTTCTTCAGTCTCCGTAGGAAGTAGAGGCGCTGCTGGGCTCTCTTGGCTATGGAGTTGGTGTTGAGGGACCAGGTGAGGTTCTCTGTGATGTGGACACCGAGGAACTTGGTGCTCTGGACGATTTCCACAGCAGAGCCAGTGATGTTAAGTTGGGGGTGGTCTCCTTGTACTCTTCGGAAGTCAGGAACCATCTCCTTAGTTTTGTCTACATTCAGAGACAGGTTGTTGGTTCTGCACCAGTCTGTTAGACGCTGCATCTCCTCTCTGTACGCTGACTCATCATTCTTGCTGATCAGACCCACCACAGTCGTGTCATCAGCAAACTTGTGCTTAAAACAGTCATCACATCTGCATCAAGTGTTGACCATTATAGTGGCTTTGGATGTTGAGACAGCATCTTACCTTCAGCAGGCCAGTTCACCTTAGCTCAGAGGTCATTAGCACCCAGGATGTGTTATGGACAGGTTTGAGTATGCAAAACTTAAAATGCGTTACCACTGAAAAACGATAAAAAATGGAAATACGGGGGTTTTCTTCTTCTTCTTTCTTTGACTTCTGGGTAGCTACATATTGCTAACAGGTGTTTAAAATCAAGCCATGCCAACTCCATAGACAAACACTGCCGTAGAATGCTACCTTTGCCACAAGCCAGTTTGTGAAATTTCTGCCCTGCTAGATCTGCCCCAGTCAACTGTAAGTACTATTATTCTGAAATGAAAGTATTTAGGAGCAACAACAGCTCTGCCACAAAGCAGTAGACCATGCAAACTGACTCTAGAAGCAACATCAGCACAAGAACTGTGAAGGAAGAACTCCCATACACACGAGAGTGTCATGAAATAGGTTTCCATGGTCAAACAGCTGCACACAAGCCTACGATCACTACGCACAATGCCAAGCATCAGCTGGAGTGGTGTAAAGCAAGCACCACTGGACTATGGAGCAGTGTAAATATGTTCTCTGAAGTAAATAATCATGCTTCACTATCCAACAGTCTGATGGACCAATTCCATATTAATGCTAATGATTTTGGAATAGAATGTCCATCAAGCTCATATAGGTGTGGTGGACAGGTGTCCGCATACTTTGTATATGTCAACCATAACTCTACATCAGTGATCCATAATCAATTATGAAGGCTACTTTTCTCTGTCTTATGCATGATGCATCTCATCTATGGTGGTCATTTTGCAGTGGGGTCCATAAGATCCTAGTTACACTCCTGGGTAGCGAACTCATTTAGTTGGGTGAATTCTTGTGTGGGTGTGTAAGTGATACATTATCAGGGTGTATCAGCGCATGCCTCAGAGTCTGTTATTTGTCTCGCATCACTACTGGCAACTAATCAGATTGCAAAGGCAGGACTATTTCTGCCCCGGGGCTTTTCCATCCCTAAAAGTGGCTCAAACTGCCCCACCCCA